TTTGGGGCTTAAAGCCACGAATAAATGTCAGTATGTCATTGGGCACAACACCCTCTGTTTTCCAAGCAGAGGTGATGGCGATACTGGTAGGGGCTCAGAACCTGCTGGTATACAAAAATAGGAAGATAACTATCTTAAGTGATAGTCAAGCGGCTTTGAAAGCACTCTGTAACGATCAGGTGAATTCAAAGCTGGTCCTCGAATGCAGGGAAACTTTAGAATCACTATCGAGGTTCAACAAAGTTACACTAGCGTGGGTACCAGGACACAACGGTGTCACTGGAAATGAGAATGCTGACTTTCTAGCCAGGAAAGGAGCAGAGAACACCTATGTTGGACCAGAACCAGTGGTAGGGCTCACTGAGCAATCGCTCAAAGCGTTACCCAAGAATTGGTGCAGAGAACAACACAGGAAAATCTGGAAGTACTTGGTAGTACCTAGACAATCTAAAATGTTTATCAAGACCCCTGGTTTATTGCTGGGTGATCTTAATAGCATGACTAGACATCAAATAAGCACCCTGACTGGTCTACTGACAGGACATGGTCACCTGCTTAAGCATCTTAACGCAATGGGGGTATCGGAATCGCCATTGTGCAGGAAGTGTGGAGTAGAAGAGGAAGACTCATTTCACATCATGTGCGAATGTGAAGCCTTGTCCACACTAAGATCAAACTACTTGAATAAACCATTTCCTGAAAAAGAGGATATTAAAAACCTAAAACCCAGAGAGATACTTAATTTCGCCAGAAAGACAGGACTCTTTGGTCATCTTTAGAGGTGACTTTATGGTTGGTAATGTATTAACACTTTGGTGATAACACTTAGGTGGGTAAACCGAATCAAAACAATTCGGTATGAGGTGCGCACAATGAACCAACAGGTCTGAGTGCATGGGCATTATGTCCACCTCAATAATAACTAAAACTAAATATACTTTAATTTGAAAAAAAAAAATTGTATGGATCAATACAATTTTTTTTTAAGAAATAATATTATTATACTTCTTTCATACGATATAATTTTTTTTTTTAATCGGACCATTTCCCTTAATACAGGGGGAGATTAAAACTTAAAAATGCATATAAAAAGTAGAACTTTTTTAACTTAATTTTTGAAAGTGTTCCGGAAATATTGACACTTTTATGTATAACTTAAATTAAAGCTTATGTAATATACTTTATTATAAAAAAAAATTTTGGACTTCATTTTATTTTCATGGTGAAATCGGACATCAAAGTAAATTAAAAAAATTCTTTTTTATATTTTTAACTTTATAACACTATAACTTTTTGAAAAATATATAGATCAATACAATTTTTTTTTTTTGATAAATACTATCTATATACCTCTTTCATTCGACATCCTTTATTTTAAATGTAGCTTTTGGAATAATCCACCAATTTTTTAAAATTTAACACTATCTACAGATTTGTATCGAAGCGTTTTTTATGATAGTGATTTTAATCACTGTCAGATATCTTTGTACTTGGCCCTACTAGGCCACGTAACCACTGTGCTGGTTGTTTTTTTTTTAATTAAACTATTTTCTGTTATACAACGGCGGTTTAAATTTTTAAAAATTCATGTTAAAAATAAAACTTTTTTAACTTAAGTTTTTAAATTGTTTTGGAAATACTCCGAGCTTTAAATATATGTCAAATTAAAGCTTTTAATAAATACTATAAGTTCAAAAAAAAAATTTATCCTGACACCTTTTCTTCTATTGGAAAATAGCTTTTGTATTTAATGAAAAAATTTTATTTTTATGAAAAATCACTGTTTAACATGAAATATTTGAATACATAAAACTACCATAACTTTTTGAAAAATGAACAAATTAAAATCATTTTTTTTTAATTAAAATTTTTGATATTTTTCTTTTATTTGATGTCAATTTTTTGAAAATCTGACTCTAAACTTGCCCACAGAAGGATTAAAAAAAAATATATTATACACAAGTTAGGCTTTTTCAATTTAATTTTTGAAAATGTTCCGAAAATATTATCAATTTTTTATTTAATATTAAATTAAAATTTATAAATAAAATTAAAACTATTCTTCTTTTTATTCTTCTTCGTCGCCTCAATCCCAACTTCTCATGGTTTTCATAAGCTTTAAAATAACATAATAAAAATGAATTATCTAATTTATTTTGACTTTTAGCATATTGTACACATATTTCACAACAACGTTGACTTCTATCTTTTTTCATAATATAACCTTAAACATAAATGAATGAATTTTGATCTATAATTTCTAAATCTCTATAATCAACTGGTCCAACGGAAAGGGTTGTTGAGAGTTGGAGAATTATTTGAAAACTTTTTGTCAACATCTGTACCGAATTAAGTTGGAATTTGAGTCAATATTTCATTGAATCATTAGTATAATTAGCGTTTTTTGAATGTTGAATGTAATTAAGTAAAAAAAAATTTTTTTGAAGCATTTAAAAACTGATACGGTATTGAATTTTATTGTTTCCGTTTTACTGTCAAAAATTACAAAATAAGGCAATCTTGGTTTATTCTTCCAGTTTAGAACATGTAAGTATCTTGTTGAACTGTTGTTTTGGACAATTTTAAACCCTTCCATAATAAAACCAAGCCAGATGTGGAGACTAACTAACTTTTTATAAATTTCATACGATTTGTAACATTATTACCAATTTTTTTATCAATTACTTCTAAATTAGAAAAAAAACAAGAATTTTAAATTGTTCAAAAGTTAATTTAAATGGTCGATTGAATATTTTTGAAGTCGGTTGTTTAAAAGAATTAAAAATATCAAAAAGTTTATCCATATTACTAATGAAATCTATTAAACACTTAGAAGAAAAATGTAATTTAGTGGTAGCTAGAAACGTATCCATTCCAACTACAACACTTTTGTGTTCATAATCACTTTGATCAACCTATGCATTGACGGATAAGAAAATCAAAAATTCAGAAGTTGAAGGTCCAAAAGTTCTATGATTTCCTGCTGTCTTTGAAAAATTATGATATCTAAAATTAAATTAAAAATTGTTTAACAATTTTTAATAACAATTATTGTTATGAATAATACTGATACTGTTAATAGTATTTTTTTTTTTATAAAATTCTAATTATTTTAGATGTAATAAATAATTAAACGTTAACTTTAAAAGGCTACAACTTCTTTCAACATTTTTAAACAAAAAACACTCAAGTGCGGATTTAGATCATTTTTTCACGTTTAATGCGATATACTGTATATAAATCATATCATTATGACTACTCAATGTTCCTCCGTAATCGTCTGACACAGTTTTTGATGCACCGAAAAAAATTATTGTGATGCCCTCTTAAATTAAAAAAAGGTTTTTATAAAGAACTTACAGAGTAGACGATTTGCTAATAATAAATCAAATATGATTATAACATTAATTTTTTATTTCATGTAACTTTTATTTTGTATTTTCTTTTCTGAAATTTTCCCTTTTTTAATTTTAATATGAGTTATATATGCTTGTGTTAACAACCCTGACAAATTTTGTTTAGTATGTATCAAATATTATTTAATAATACAGCGTAAAAAAATTATTGGACGAAAAAAAGTTTGAGCTATAAGTTTAACTTCTTTTTTAGAAAAATAACTAACGAAATCAACTTTTAATGCCTAGATTTAAAGGTCGAACTTGTATTAGTATACATTTTTACACGTACCTTTTAAATATTATATATTTAAGTTTGAAAAAAAAATGTTTTTATTTCTAATGAATCTTCTTCTTCTTCTACCTCGCCTTAATCCCAACTACTTGGGGTCGGCCACCCTTATCCTAAACTTCCATTTGATACGATCTCCCACATCCTCAACGCTCACATCAGATGTCCTCATATCGCATTCAATAACATCCCTCCATCTCTTTTTTGATCTTTCTCTACCTCTTCTTCATTCAACATTTATTTCTATAACTGTTCTTACGGCTTCCGATTCCTCACTTCTCATAATATGATAAAACCATCTAAGTATATTTTCTCTCATCTTACCCACAATTGACGCCACACCTATACTCCTTCTTATATGCTCATTTCTTATCTTATCTTCTCTAGTCACTCCACTCATCCATCTAAGCATTCTCATCTCCGCTACACTCATTCTCTGCTCTACTTTTTTATCAACCGACCAACACTCTGAACCATACTTCATAGCTGGTCTCACTACAGTATTGTAGAATTTACCTTTCAGCCTCATTGGAATTCTTTTATCGCATAAGACACCAGACTCGTCTCTCCACTTCCACTTTTATGTATAAAGTATTTTTTTCATTATCATTATATCGTTGGTATAGAGGAACATATTAATCAATAAAAAAACTTTATTTTTTCAAATAATTTTATCCATTTTTGATTAATTTTATTAGAAATAATTTATATAAAAATTTTTTCTTTTTATTAAAATAAAGGCCGCATCAACAAAGGACGTGATTATATGTATATCAAGTGTATATCACTATAAAATAGCTATTTAAATAATTAGATTAGGAGGTTAATAATGAGATTGAATAAAATTAGCAAATAATCACACAGATATTATATTAAGTCAAATAGTTCGGTAGCGTTGAGGAATTTTGTTATTAGAAATAATATATTATTTTTAATAGTATGACATATTTTTTTTTAAAAAACACTATTTTTTGTTCACAAAGTAAAAATGCAAATATGGTGAAGTGCTAATTTGACCAATATGGCTGCTATAGTCCTCCCTCCTTATATAACTTTATACAAATAACAAATATAAAATATTATTTTTTAAAATATATTTTACTTTATATCCTTTCGTATGTACAAAAGATTTATATTGACAAAATATGAAGTATTCCACAATTGCCAACAATTTCTATAATAAAAAATTATTGTTAATCGCTAACACTTAAAATAAAATTGTTCAAATTAATTTAGTTTTTATCTTATCTACGATTCCATTATCAGAAAATATTAAAAAAACTATAGTAAAGATCATAATAACCAAGGAGGATTTATCCACTTTAATAATAGTATATCTATAAAAAAAAATAGATACGACTATGCTATATTAAGTCTTAATTTTAAGTGTTTTCTTAATCAAAAACCAAGAATTGATGTTCAACGTTTTAGTTAAATAATTTATATTAATTTTATAATTTTTGTATTTAAATATTAACAATAACAATGAAGTATAGTGTAAAAGTAAGGCACAATTAATGTTTACTTTTTAATAAAACTTAAAGTAATTAGATTTTTAATATTTAATTACGTCTTTATATTATATTTTCTATAGATTGGAATAATTGGTGGATCAGGATTAGATGATCCCACATTTTTCAAAGATTCAACAGAACTCAAAGTTGATACTCCTTTTGGTCAACCATCAGATTCCCTTATCTGTGGAAAGATAAGTGGTGTGGATTGTGTTCTTTTAGCTAGGTATGAATTATTATTAGTTTTAAAAAATAATTTTTACTTATTTACTTATTTGCAGACATGGGCGAAAGCATTCTATCAGTCCTACTAATGTAAATTACCGTGCCAATATTTGGGCTTTAAAACATCTTGGATGCACTCATATAATTGCTTCATCTGCAACAGGATCTCTTAAAGAAGAAATAAAACCCGGCGATTTAGTCTTACTAGACTCATTTATTGACTTGTAATAATAACTATAATATTATTAACTTAAACAGAGTGATCTGTTTATTATAGCTGAATTAATACCTATAAATTACTTTTTAAAATCATCTCTTATAACTTATAAGGGTGTTAACTTTACATTTTCATATAGCTACGTACATAATTTATTAACTTATAAGGTCAAAGAATAAAGTAATTTAAATAGAAAATTACTAATTGATAACAACTTTTGAATCAGTATTTCAGAAGTTATTAACAATATAAAATAATGACTGGGCATGCTACTATTTTTATCTCTTGCAATTTCCCAGTTGTACTCTTCCTCCCGTTGTAAATGTTATACCATTTAAAAAAATAAAATTGAAACTTCTAAGGGATAATCTTAAAAATAATTAAGAGCTAATAATTCAAAAAAATGTGTATCTAAAAATATTTTTCAATATTGTATTTATTTTGAGAGTAATAGAGTGGTTTATGAAAACCCTATTACTCTGTATATCATTAATAAAACTATTCAATAATAGGATTTTTTCAGTACAAAAAAAAGAGAATATTCAATGTATGGTAAAAATGATCAAGTTGTACATATTCCCATTGAACCTCCATTTTGTTTGACAATGAGAAATATTGTTTTAGAAACAGCAAAACACCTTTGTATTCCAATACATGAAAATGGTACTGCTGTAGTTATAGAAGGTCCTAGATTTTCTTCTAAAGCTGAAAGCAATATGTTTCGTTCCTGGAATGCTGATTTAGTTAACATGACACTTGTTCCAGAAGTAAAATTAGATTAATATTCTAGTAATTTAAAATCATATACCATTTAAATAAACCTATCTGGTATAAATTATTATAGCAATAGTTTTATTAGTGTAAATAAAATCACCGCAATAGAAATATTTACATTTAAAAACAAACACAATTGTCATTTAAAAAATTGTATTTAATACATTTAACAACTTATCAGTAACTACGTTTTTTTTAAATAGTTGTTGACATAAAAATTAATGCATTTTTTATGCACTTTTAAATATCAATAGATTTTAACAAAATATAGTCAAAAGTAATATTTACTTAATTTTATGATAAGGTTATATTGGCAAAAGAAGCTGGTCTTTTATATTGTACAATAGCTATGGCCACTGATTATGACTGTTGGAGAGAGGACACTGAAAAAGTTAATGTTGCCAGTGTTATTAAAGTTTTTCAAGAAAATGTGAAGAAAATAACACACATTTTTTTAAACGTTGTGCCTATAATAGCTGAGAAAAATTGGGACTCTGAAATTGATGAACTTAAAGTAAAAAATAAATTATTATTAATTCTTTTCATTTTTAGTTCATTTAATTATTTGTGATAAGATTTTTTAAATATAAAATATGACTGATTATTGCAATTGATTCTTATAAGTAGAAACTGAAATTTAATCATTTATTATTGTAACTTAATTTAAATAGAATTAAAATTCCATTCTACATATTATATTTTAACAATGATCTTGGTTAATATTTTGTACAATAATTACAATTTGTTTTCAAAGTTTATAATAATGAAAATATTTGTGCAAAGAAAAAAATTTTACAGTATACTAAGAACACACAAATAATTAAATTAAATTTGTAGTAACTTAAGTGATACATACAATTATTATGCTTCATTTATAATTCATATTAACCATATTAGCTTTAATTTATTATGTTTTTAGAATTTAGTGCATGATAGCATTCAAAGTAAATAACATCAATCAGAAATAAAAAAAGAAAACCAATACTTCCATTACAAATTTTAGTATCAATTGTAACAAATAAAATGTGATATTATCTATTTCATGTCTGCTTTATTTACATATATTTTTAATTTTTTTATTTGAAAATTAATTTTAATATCAAATTTTTCATATTTTGTTCAAATGACTACCCTGTTAAATAAATGCAAAGTCCGTAAGCATTAATTTACTTAGTTTTTCTTTCCATAAAAAAATTCAATCAATATAATATTAAAAATTTAAGAACAATATATATATATGTAGTAATCTCCCAACATCAAAGTTTTAAAATGTTAATTGATAAAATGTTGTAAAATTTATTATTATAAATATTAGCATAAATTATTGATGTAGTAAAATTTGGTCCTGATAGCTCTCAAACACAAATTCAAATACTTCAACATTAAACAATTTATAGGGTTATGTATGAAATTACAATCCACATTAAAATCTATGAGTATCTAATCTCATACTATAAGTGAGACATATTGGATATACTAATAAAAATGAAATATTTTTGCTTACGAATTTATCATTATTTTAAGATAAAAAAATGTTGAAGCAATTACTAAAATATAATTAAAAAGAGGGAATCAGAAGTATATTTTAGTAATAACTCTTAAGAAAGATATTTAAATTATATTTAGTTTAGTATAAGAGGTAGTGAAAATATTAAGAGTAAAAAATGGCTTTAGGATCATTTTAAATATAGTTTCAAATAATCAATATAAGCAAAACAAAAAATAATCATGGCAATCGTTGATAATAATTTCATTCTTTAATGACTTAATTGTGGTAACTTTTAAACAAATGCATTGATTTTTCAAGTGATTAAATTGAAGCGTATTAGTAACGATCATTTTATCAAATATTAATCATAATTAATATAGATTGTAAAATAATTTAATTGACCACCTCTGAATCCCCCAAAAAAAAAAAATTTTAATTAGCTGTTATTCAATCACACAGTCTTAACAATTCAGAGGATATCTACAATGTCAGTATTTTTAAAGGATTAAATACTGGGTATTGTTAAATTCATTATTTACAATACAAATCAGTATTATTTTTTAACTACAGTTTAATAATTAAAATATTTTAATTCTATTAACCTATTTATACTTATTAAAATAAATAATTTTTCTTAAATTCAATAATATAAAATATTATTTTTAACAACTCAAAAACAACAAACAACGTAACGGTACTAAAACATGTTTAGAAAATATTGCTTTTAAAAACAAAAATTAAAATATTAATAGCACAATAAGGAATGTATATATAGGCTAACATTAAGTATGAAGACAGACCAATTAGTAGAATAATATTGTATTGAACTACATATTATTCCGACAAAAAAATGATCAATAATAGATTTTTTTTTTAATGTGCGATTTAAAAAAAATAAATCGTTTAAATGATTTAATGATGGGATGATTTTGATACAATTTAATTTTACGCTTTAGCATCTACCATATCTATATTTATTTTATAATAAACATATGGGAAGTACTCAGCTTGTCCAAAACCAAGACCAGGTATTTCGACACTCTAAGAAAAGAAAAATAAATTACTACAAAATAACATATCAACAATATCACTACATACATCATGTGTACCGGTAGCACTTCCTTGTTGAGCACTACTATCTAAATGTCCATATAATTGATGTAAAACGTCACGAAGCCGCTTAGTATTTTTTTTATTTGGATGCAATAACATAGCTTGAAAATTAACAGGTAAACCATATCTGTAACAAACATAAATTGATTTTAATTATTCATAATAGTTAATTTTAAACAGTACTATAAGTTCTTAAATGTATTTTTTTTCAATTTTTAGATTTAATTAAAAATTAAAAACATTCTTTCTTAAAAAAAAATGTCTGAACATTTTTAAGCATTCCTATATGACACTTAATGAATATTATTTTTTAAAAAATATACAGGATAGACAAAATTAAAAAAAAAGAATATATTTAACAACACTCCCATTAAACCTACTCTTTTATGAATTAATATGTTTTTAAGTGGATCAATTAGATAGAAATACTCATAAATTATATACATTTTATAACACTTAATTACAATAGATTAAATTTCTCTTCTAAATTATTATTTTTAAATGATGCTATTTTTGTAAATACATAAAATTTCATAATTAGCTGCTTTTGAGAAATTTTTTAAGAACGCAATGTGAAATTAAATTATACTGTTCAATTAAAATTTATATACAAGATTTACCAAAGATTTTAATTACCTTAACACAGATTCAACAAAAACACGAAGCGCTTTTACATGTATCCAAGCACAAAAACATTCACTAAAATTGACCTTTAACCATCTAACCAGAGGTCCCTATTTTCACAAAAAAATGTTAAGTGTAGTTAACATAATAATGTTTAAAAAGTGTCCTAGTGTTCTTACAAACTGCTTTTTTTTATCTGTTACAAGTTTGGTAATCTCATTTTTTCCAGCTGCAAGTTCAACTTCATTATAAGTAAAATCGCGAACAATAAACCTAATATACATGAATTTTTATTATTCATTTCTTAATAATATTTTTAACTTAACAATTTTAACCAAAATAAATAATTTACTTCTTTTCCCTAGCATGGTGCTTGAATTCTTCTGCTACTTTTTTAAACAATGTAACAGTAAATAAACCATAATCATTGTCTTGATTTACCAATTGTGTGGAACGAGGTACAATCATATCTGTTAATTTTTCATAACTTTGAGTCCAATCAGAAAAAGCAGATCTAAAGGAAAAAAAATCAAACTATTATTAAGTAATTATTAATTAGAATAGCTATAAATATATTACTTAGGAACAACTACTAGCAAAGTTGTAAGATACTCTGAATCTTGAATAAAATGTTCCTTGCGTACAATATCAACCAAATTTCTTGTTAACAAGCTGCCAGTTTGTTTTTTTTCCATGTTTTGTAAACTGCTTTTGAGATTATTGTAAACTGATGACTTAGTTTTAAGGTCTGCATCAATCTGTCCTACTTGTTTACTTATAATATCAGCTATGTTACGCAATGATTGTTTAATAGGATATTTTGCCATGTCCCATTGGAAGTGAGTTAAGTAAACGGCAAGGTCTCCTAAAATTATATTCCACATTTAATAGTTAATATTTACCACTTTTTTTTAACAAATATAATAAATTGATGCAGAGCATGAAACAGACACAAATCGTAAAAATTAAGAAAAAAAATTAAAATAATGTAGCATTTTATATATTTTTCTTCATATATGACATTTGATTTTATTTTACATATACACATATATATATATTTCGTTTTTTCATTGTTTTTTTAATAAAAAATAAAAATCATATTCAATTATATATATTAGATATAAATATTATATTTTTATATATATAGATAAAAGTTAAAAACCCATTAAACTCGCAAAAACAAAAATTGAAGAATTACAGAAAAATATCGTAATATATATTTAAACTAGAATTAAACAAAGGAATTTTTCTTAATTAATAACCAATATTTTAATTCAATTGTAACAATTTTATAAAAGTTTAGTCGAATCTTTTTGAACAGTACTTAATAATAGAAATAGACAAAACTGTTCCATGCCCTGATACAGATATATTAAAATATTACTATCTCCAATTTTTTCTTTAATTTTTATAATACAATACTGAATGATGGTCAATATATAATATAATAAAATTGTAAGGTTATTGTAACATTTATTTAATTTATATATTAAAATATTATACACAACTCAGGAAGATTTTAATAAATTTCAATAAAAAAATGTCAATATTAGCCCCCAATACTAATGACAATAAATTATCATTATTCAAATGCTAGCCATGGTATTAAATTCGAATAATTGAACACTAATCACAAAATATTGAGTAATATTTATAGAAATATTTTAATAGTTACTCTAAGATATTTTTCTTTGCTCTTACATTAACAAAAATAAATAAAATAAAAAATAAAATAGGCAAAAAAAATTAGTGTAAATTCAAACTTCCGTGTATAAAAACAATATTCTGTGCATAAGCCTAATGTGCATGTTAAAACTTTTTACCTACTATGATACTTATAGCAATAAAGCTGTTTATTTTAATAACATAAATTTTGTTACCCAGGGACAATTTCAAATTTAATTAATTAAAATAAATTAAATTTTACCTTAAACAGTTTAATATATCATCATAGTCAATTTTAAGATAGTTGAATAAAGTTAGATAAAATTAAAAAATAATAATGGCTACGAAAATTATTAAATATTATCATCAAACTAAATACATACAATCATTTTTAATAAATATATACAAAATAATTATTTTATCAATACTAATATAGATTATAAGATCAATACTTCTGGTATATCTTGATAATAAAAAATTTTGGATTCAATCATACTTTAAAAGGACAATGACTTAACAATTCTTAGAAATCATTGAAACGCCTAAGTTTTTATTAAGATGAGGTTTAAATTAAACTCTTTAGGTTTGGGGGCAGAGTTGTATAGTACATATAACTTTATTTTAAATATTTTTCATAAAAAAAAAAAATCTCGCTAGATGAACTTTAAAATTAATTTAACAATTTTAATTTTTTAAATACAATCAACTCAAGTTAAGTAAATTTTAAATAATAATTCTTCAAGAAAAAACTGTCATCTTAGCAAATTAATATAATAGAAAACTGCAATAATATTATGTTGTTTAAATTTTAGTTATTTATTTATATAGTTATATTTAATTAGATATAATAATTAATAAAAATATACTTGAGCTTGTCAATTATTATATTATTTATTATTATAAAGTGAACAAATAGCTAAATAAAATATAAAATGCCAATATTTGCACAAATACATTCAAAACAACGAGGAAACTACTATCGATAATGAAACCACAAGCTAAAACTGCATGAAGCATCCTACAAAAAGCAGCCGCTTACCTTGGGACGTTAGACACACGCCTGTCGGCCATCTGGACTTTGAATAGCTCAAGGCGGGCTCTTCCCAGCACACGGCCCACGACTCTCAAGACAATGCTGTGTCCAACGCCACACACAACAAACCCATAACAAAGCTTTTACTTATTGCAATCGCCAACAGAAAAAAAGTCATAGGCCTACCTCACTAACCTATGGTTACATGGCACTATTCGTCGACCAATTATAACATTATTATATAATGGGTCTTTTTCTAAATTTCTATCTAGACTTGACTAGAGCCACAAGTTATACATAACGTTGAGTAAAAGGTTATGAAGTATTCATTACAAAGAAAACTATACTAAGCAAGTCATCTAAATAAAATATGTAGAGTAAATTTGTGGTATTTTTAAGATCATTGAATTTTTTTTTTTTTGTAAAATAAAAGTATTAAACCAGAAATGGAAACTTTTATTTTTCAGCTTTTATTAATAATGCTTTATCAATTTTTAATAATTTATTTTTTTAACAGAGTATAAAACCAAAATTTTAAAGGTTACTTTACTATAAAACATAGTTTTAAAAATTTTTTGTTCTTTATTTATTTCTAAAATATTTTAAAAATAAATGATTAAATTTAATTGACTATGTTCAAAAAAATCATAAAAACTGCAAAATAATGTTTCAACCCCAAAACAGTCAAATGTTTAATAAATTAATTTTTATTTAATCATTTTTATGTGTTAATTCTAAAAAAGTTGGCTGACCAAGTAGTTGGAATTAAGGGGAGGAAAAAGAAAAAAATTAATAAGGCTTTTTTTAGTCAGCTCCTTAAAAAAAATAAACTTGTAAATCATAAAACCACAGCTAATTCGAGTTTCAAAAAAAAAATATGTAAATGGTAAATTAATTCTTAATATTTAATAAAGTAGTAATGCCATATATTCATATTTAGCATTATATAAGAATAGTTATTAATTGCTATGTATACAATTGCTCAATTATTTAAAATGGATTTTAACGCAGAATAACTTTATTCCTAAAATCTTTGTACTTTCATTTTATGAAAGAAATTTAATTAAAAAACAATTAAAATTAAAATAAATATTTTATTTTAACTTAATTTTTTATAAATATTTCAGTAAGTTACATATATAACACTGAATTCAAGAGAGCCTTATCTCAAAAAAAGTAGTTTTGATATTAATGATTTCAAATCATGTATATTAAGTTTACGTCAATTTTTATACAACTTTCTAACAAATTTAAATAGAGCATAATAAAGTATATTGAACAATACAAAAAATATCAAATATCAAATATTTCAATATATGGCCCTTTGCACTCATAATATGAAGTGATTCACATACAATAATTGTAACTTTCATTTAATAATTATTATATAAAATCATAAATAGTACTTCAATCCACATTAAATTTTAAGTTTTAAATTGTTAGCAAATATTATTTTAATAATTTTAAAATAATTTAAACTTTAATTGATGTTATAAAAGTTCTTCAAAACAATATATATATATATATATACTTAAAAATTCCTTATTGAATAGTTGGATTTTAATGTTATTACAAAGTAAGAGACTGAAATAATTAAAGATGTACCATTTTAACTAATGTATGAAGCATATTAATATTCATATTCCACCAAAAGATAAACTACCAATTTCACACACTACATGACAAAAAGTAAGAAAAATATTAGAATCGGAACAATATAGTTAAGTTTTTTTAATGTGCATTGTAAAATATTAATCTTTAAAAACATATTAATAAATAATATTCAAGCATTTAAAATATAAAATAAAGTAAATCTTTAAAAATCTATTGAAAAAATCATGAAGTCTGAAAGATCTTGTATTATCAGTTAAAAACCCCCTCTACAATCATATTTCACATATAATACTTTTATAACACAAATTAAGTTAAACACATAATGAAAAACCAAAAGAAATGCAAGTAAATTCAATATAATAATTATATTATATTATTATGTCATTTAACCTTTCAAATAGTATTTAACACAATTTTTTCTGTTCATTTTTAATAATTTTACTTAATAGTAGTTATTTGAATATACTTTTGTATTTATTTAAAAAATATAATGCATTAAATATTTGTTGGCCTTTTTAGTTTATATAGTTTTTCCAAATATTAAAAATGAGTATAGAATTATATAAATTATTAATAAAATAAAATTAACACATGGATTGGATGCAAGGGTATAGGAAAAACTCAACTAAAATGACCAATAAAAATTTAGGATAATGTTCCAAAAATATAGGATAAGTAGGTAAAGGTTAACTACATAGACATATCACATGAGCTACATCGGGTGTGTCATCATTGTTAGTCAATGGGATAATGGGTAAAACCGTTCTACAACTAATACATACCATTATTGGCCATCAAATTTTCTTGAAGCTTATCCCGTTGATCTTCCAAGACCTCACCCAAATAAGAGGCCACTTTATGAGTCACCTGATCTACGAAGCTGTCTAATTTTCCTAAATCATCTGACAAACCAACTAGTTGATCCAACGTACCGACTTTCAAATCAGGTATATGAAACTTATAATTGATTGAAAGACTGTTTTGTTTGCTAGTAACATTATTGAGCGTCTCCCAGGTTTGTTGACAAGTCTTGTCTCCAGGAGCCGATATCAGCCAATATTCTGTCATTTTTTCCGAATTCTAAGTACTAATACATTAAATATTAATCAATGATGTATAAAATATAAAGTTTTTACAAAATGGGCAGGGTCAAAAATCAATTATTAAATTAAAAAAACTTCAATAATGTCATACAATGTATACAATTCTACAAATGTAAAAATGATAAAAAAAATATTACTTACTTTTACAATGGAAAAAAATTAGGGGCGATTTTATTTTACTAGTTAAGTAGACAGTTTCTAAATTGGAACACGCCTAAACCGAAAGAGACCTTGTTAACAGTATGATCATTTGTTTTCGATATCATTTGAAGTGATATGAAATGGACACACCCTAACGCGAAATAATCGGAAATTTAACAAAAACGTATGAAAAATAATTTTTGATATTGAAGGTTTACGAAAGACACAAGAGAATTTTAATTTAAAAAATAAACTAGTAATATAAAATTGACATGTCTTTTTAAACGTTTTAAATAATGAAAAATTACATTAATATAATAAAATCAATAAACTATCCGTACCAACATTTTATTTTTAGAAAAGGGAATTTTTTTATCAAAGACTTAAACATGTAAATGATTGATAACATAATTTCGTATAATTGATAGAACCAGTTAATACACATGAGTTCTTTTAAAATTTAAATATTCGTCTCTTTTATTAGACTTTTTACTACTAATTTTAGTAACTTAAAATTCAGTTTTATCACTATGGCTAATCATGATGAAGTTATAAAACGAATTGGATCAGTTCTTGCTAACTCTAAATTACCAATGAAAGAACGTTTTCGAGCTTTATTTACACTAAAAAATATAGGTGGTAATTCTGCAATAGACAATATAGCTAAATGTTTTACAGATAGTTCGTGCCTCCTAAAACATGAACTAGCATATTGTTTAGGTCAAATGAGAAATGAATATGCTATCCCTTATTTAATAAAAGTACTAAAAGATGTTGATCAAGAGCCAATGGTACGACACGAAGCAGGTAAAATATAACTCAGTATAAATTTCTTGACTTAGGTTAGTACTATAATATAGTTATTATGTTATAATTAGTGAACAGATTTTTAAGTTTTGACTTTAAAATATAACATATATAAATTACATTAAAAATAACCATCAGTATAGTTAAATTTTTTGCCTTCAGTGCTAATAGGCAATGAAAAATCACTGCATCTCTTTCTCTCCTTAATATACAGTTCAACTGTATATGGCTGGAGTCAGACCAACCTTGTGTTCAATAACCAAAAAAAAAAATGTTAAAAGTTATCTCTTAAAAACTAATATTATATATTAATATATCATAAAGATAAGAACTTCTGTGATAAAAATAAATATATTGTGAAGATCAGATGTGATCCTAGAGATAATTTTTATAGGTACATGAAATAGATTTTCCCAACTATTAGTGACTAAATTATCTCAATGAGTAAAAAAGTTTACTATATATTCTAAAAATACCAACTACAAATGACTTTAATAAATATTTTGGGTTATAACACCCTAGTATGAAATCATCCTGGGTGAAGATGCATTTTGGAGAAAGTAGTAAAAAAATTGTCTTATATATATAATATTCTTGATTATTTAAATACTGTAATAAAATTATTTTTTTTTATATATATTAGCTGAAGCTTTAGGTGCAATTGGAAAGCAAGATGTCATACCAATACTAGAAGAATATAAAAATGACCCAGTCCAAGAACTTGCTGAAACATGCCAATTGGCACTGGGGAGACTTTTATTACCTAAAAATGAAGCAAATGTTGAAAACATATATGGATCTGTTGATCCAGCACCTCCTTCATCAATAAAAAGCCTAGAAGAACTTGAAAAAATTCTTAATAATGAAAATGAAAGTCTTTTTGACAGGTATAAAGCTATGTTTTCTTTAAGAGATATTGGATCACCAAGAAGCATAACTATTCTTTCTAAAGGTATACTTATTTTAAGTTTTTTTTTTTTGTTAAAATAATGTTTTTTAATAAGAAATTAATGTATTGCAGCCTTATCAAATGGAAGTGCTCTTTTTAAACACGAAATTGCTTTTGTCTTGGGCCAATTACAATCTCCACTTAGCGTACCATATTTAAAAGAATCACTTATGGATGAATCCCAGAATGATATGGTAAGGCATGAATGTGCAGAAGCATTGGGTGCAATTGCTACAGATGATTGTTATGAAATATTAAAAAAATACTTAGATGATCAGAAGATTGTTGTTAAAGAAAGTTGTGAAGTAGCTTTGGATATGTGTGATTATGAAAATTGTCCAGATTTTCAATATGCAAATACTTTAGAAAAAATAATAAGTTGAATTTTTTTTTGTAAAATTTTATTTGCCTTAATCAATAAATAAATTTTACAGCATTTGTTTAATTTTTATACTATGCTTAAAATCCTATTTTTACTTAATTATTTTAGAAACATGTAATTAGAAACTAGATTAAAATAATTTTTAAGTTACTCTAATACCAACTTTTTCAATTAATACAATATTTCAGTATACTTATATATTTCCATACACCAAGGGCTTTTTCAGTTACATTGACTATTGAAATGTATGACAAACAGTAACACAAAAATAATTTAAAAAAACGAAAGGTGAATATTTCTTTTTTCTTAAACTGATGATTAATTTTTTATCACTAGAATTTTTATAAAAAGTTACAAAAATTAAGTAAAGTAAAGTATTTTTAATATTTTTTAGCATTAAATTAATATTTTTATTTTTAAATAATATTAATCACAAGTGATCAATTCTTATTACACAATGATGATCACTAACTAGTTAATTATTTTTCTAATAATCTAATTAACTCTAACTAATTTAATTTTCCTTTACAATAACTTAGCTTTTTTCTTTTAATTAGTAAAAATAACAGTTAAGCTAAATCAAAAATTTCGTTAAAAAATGTGTCTATACGCTAAGTATGTAGTGAAATTAAAAAAAAATCCATTATAAATACTGAAATGTGTATTTTATATTTTTTAATTATCAAAATATACATTGATTAATAATAATAATAATACTCAATCCAGATGTATTATTATATGATAAAAATAATTATTATTGGTAAAGCCGCTTTTCTGCTCTCAGAATTAGGGAAAATTCTAAAAATAGCTTAAATATACAATGTTGGACAATCTTGGAACTTGCATTACAGTAATTATTATCTGTTCTACTTCATAATTTTGAATACTATTTTTAAAACTTATTTATATTTTACATACAGCTCATTCACCCTAACAAGTTAGTTGAAATTAATGCCATTTTATTTAAAAATATGCATGATAGATCTAAAGCTACAAAGCACTTAAAAATTCAAGATATTGGAAAAATGGTTTCAAACTAAATTTGACAATGCTAATTAGAAGTTAATTATTAATACAGTATCACCTTTATCATTAATTAAACATTCAGCTTTCATAGATTATTGCAAACTGACATCTCATGAAGTTCTAGTATTCCGTAGAACATTGAAGAGAGACTAGGAAAAGTTATTTGACAGCTTAATTAAAGAAATGAAAATAGGTTTTAATAACATAAGTCATGTTTGCCTAACAGCAGATTGTTGGTAAGTTTTTCATAGGTAAATTATTTTATGCAGTTTAAATACTTTCGATCCCCAATATGCCAATGATATATTTCTTGTGATTTTCTCATTGATGGTGTCCGGTCTCTGGTGCATTATGCATTATACATATAACACGGGTATTATACCCGTCCTCTCCATCATTGGCTTAGCCAAGAACCATCTTTGACATCCCAACATGTGAAAGAGAGCCACCACCTTTTGTAGCATGTTAAATTAAGATAACCTTAAGTATTTTTGTTCTTTTATCACTGACTGTATTTTTTCTTCTGTTAGCTGAAATTATTCCTCCTACATTATGACACTTGATACACTCAGGTATTAAGGTATATTAATTAAATATTTCAAATTTTATATTCACTTTCACTGACCAAATACACACTTTATGTCACCTTGGGTTTGAAGAGTATTTATTCACATTTTGCCTAGAATTTAAGAATTCAAAAAATATGCTATTTTTGTGTTATATTTCTGGATTTTGTATTTTATTTTATTTTAAAATACCTTACAAAGGTTTTTGAGTTTAAAAAAATTGTTTAACTTATTTGATTTTTATCTCATTTAGATTCAATGACTTCAATGAATTTCCAGAATCCCATCACTGAAATCTGCTCGTGTGAACAAATTTCTTATTCATATTACAATTATTTTACTATGTCATTTATTTTCACAGCTCTCGCTAGATTTTTTAAACGATACATCATATAATCAAAACTATTATCTAATTAAAGATATTACCCTCAAAAATTGAAAAAAATCATCCCATTTATCAAATAAAAAGTTGCTTAACCAGCTTTCTCCATACAAACAATTGAAAACATTCTTTTCTAATATTTTTTAAGTGTTTTAGATCAAGAGAAAGATAAATTTTGAAAGACTTAACCGACATTGAACATTAACTAAAAATATATGTATATCAAATGTAACTAAAAATGTATAACTTTGTGAGACATAGGGTAAAATAGAATGGCTAGATTGAAAATTAATTCTGAAAATTTAATTTCCCCATTTATGTCAATGATGCGTAGACGAAAATAGAGTAAGAATATTGAGGGTCTAATGATATTGTCGTACGTCGGTAGTGCCCCAACGTAGACACAAAGGTTTATTAAAGTTTTATGTATATATATATTGACGACGAGTTCGTCGTCTAAGCTCTTCTCGAGTCCTCCCGTTGGATAAACTGATCAGCCCCAATCTCTCTAATTAGTGGACTACTAAAGGGGTAGAGTTTAGACCCGTCAGCACAGTCTAGCTCAAAAGTAGCAGACTGAAGGGTGGCTCCTTGTCAGCCACCAGCACAACTACCTTTTTACTATACCCACTAAAGGACGGTTAAGCCCAAACACTAGCCAGCTCGTACACTAATTATTAAGATTGACTAAAGGACCAGCAGTCCAACCTAGACTCTAGCCGCACACACACACACACACACACACACAATTTCGAGATCACCGTGAATATTAAATATTTGCGCTAAGTCCAGATTTTAAAATAGTTATTTTATTTACGAAATGTATCAAACACAAAGTCAAATATAATATAATAATTTAACACAAAAATTAATTAAATCTTAAAAAAAATATAAAGTTATTCTTACGTCAACGACCTAACCCGTAACTCGATGTTTCTTCGACAAAAACGTCCAGTCTCGTCTCGCCCAGTATCGTCCGTGTCGTCCTCCTATACTTTTCATGTTTCCCTTTTATATTCTTTTTCCCACCATTATTAATTTTGCTTACCCTGCATTTCCCTTTTATATGGAATTATTATATTGCTTAAGAGTTCAAAAATTGCTTACTACTATTGTAAAGCTTATATTATACTAAAATCGCTCCAACCTATAACATGTTTTTATAGTACAATAAATACATCTAATTAACTAAATTTGCTCTCAAACACCCATTTATTTTCACTATGATTATATTGAGTGATTATTTTACTATTAGCCATTCAATTTCTCTTAAAATAATAGCTTTTTTTGCTTTTGTTAGTTAAATGTGTATTTCCATTTATCTGTAATAAAATATTATAACATAAGATGTTCATTCCTTACATTTTATGGCGGTGTCAACTTTTTTTTTTTAATGGCAACTTTCATATTTAACTAGTTTATAAAAAATAAAATCATGTAATTAAGAAAATTATTTAGCAATAACAACTTTTGGATCAATATTTCAGAAGTTATTAATAATTTAAAGTAATAACTGGAGGTGAGGAGTATAGGTGTTGCTATTTTTATCACTAGTTATTACATTGCGTCATTTCGCCACCCACCTAGGTATAAAAATGTTAGGGGGGTCCTTATTTTCCATTTTTCAAATTTTAATCGGGCTACCCCTGGAATTTGTTCAAAACTATAAAAAAATAATTTTTGTTAAAAAATAAAATAAAAATATTTTTGAAAAATAAGGTTAACTTTTTTAATTTTACTCATCATTTCACAAGAAAATAAATACCTAAAAAGGATAGGATGCATTACAAAAATGTTGTTTTTAGTTCATACTTTAAGACACATAGATAATGATAGAAATTTTTAGCTTCGATGCGAAGCTGAGAAGGTATTAATTTTACTATGATGTGTTTTTTTTTTTTTTTTTTTTTT